GTAGTAGATAAATTTCAGTAAGTGTGTTCAAATCTTTTTCTCTGTGCCATTCCACATTATTACAAATATCTTCGTTTATGGTTTGATTTCTTTGTATGTATGGATCACTTGGGTTGTTACTGACATCTGGTGAAAATTTCATGTCATTAGCACCTCTAGTAATTTATTTACTGAGAAAAATGGTGACGTGTTCAATACTTTTTCCCTGTGCCATTCCAAAATATTACAAATAACTTAGTTTCTGGGCATTTATGGTTTGATTTCTTTGTATGTATGGATCACTTGGGTTGTTACTGACATCTGGTGAAAATTTCATGTCATTAGCACCTCTAGTAATATATTTACTGAGAAAAATGGTGACGTGTTCAATACTTATTTTACCTGCTGTACATGTCTGAGGCAAGACGGTCTGTTCCTCAGCTCATCAGTCTTGAGGCTTTTAAGAATAATCTCACTAAATAAAAGTTCATTAAAGACACATTATGGTGACAAAAGGGGATATCAGCAACATAAAAGGCAAATAAATATTGGACACATGCAAATATCATTTTATTAAAAACATTTATGTATTAAAATTTGTATTAAAAAGGATTTTTATGACCCTGCATTCACATTTTTATAATGCTGACAGTGCTTGGCAATAAAATGTCATTCAGAGCAGAGCAAATGTTTCCTCAGATCCTGACAAAATCCAAGCTAACAGTTAAAGGTTGCTTTGCATAAAGATTTCCGTTAAACCTGGATGGATCTCTTTAGTAAAAAAAATGGGACAGATGTGGGGGATGTACCACCTCAGTCACGTTCGTCTTGCTCTAATGCTCTAAGATTACTGAGGTAACGGTTAACTTGGAAATGTTGGAACAATACTGGCGTTATGTTTTTTGTCTTTGCAAAATGAGGCGTACTTTAAATCTTTACCTTCTATTTACAAACAGGAGGTAGTAAAATATTCTGTAAAAGGGGCTACAGACACATTGACCTAACTCGAGGTCATGTAACACAAAAATTTCTGGCGTGTTTTCGTGTGCTGGACTCTAACACGTGAAATCTTGTTTTGACTCATCTATGTTTAGGAAGTCCTATGCAAATAGTGCCTTTCTGTGGACAGCACTCACACAATTTGCCACCTGTGATGCTAACACTTTTTGAAAACATCAAATGAGCTGCATGAAGACAGTGAGGTAATAATTTGCAAGTAGATTTCCATAGTGGGTAGCATATTTACGCAGATTAGACAGGTGTTTGCTTTGGCTCCAGTCACGAAAGGCAGAATAATAGAAGCTTCTGTTTGAGGTTGAAAGCACATGAGCAGACTGTGTTTACCTGTCCTTGATATGCAAAAACAAGTGGGGGCAAGTAACGAATAGTTTTAGGCGGCGACGCGCACCCGCTCCCGAGTATCGAGGATCACATTTCCAACTGAACTGCTGGTGTGTGAAACAAGAGGAGAAAGCTTCCCCATTCTCCATGGTGACCTCTTACAGAAGCTCCCGCTCCTGTTCGCTTCTTGGCATTGTGAGCTGGCTCTGCACCCAGTCTGATGTCATTTCTGTTGATGATGGGTCACTCGTAGCCTCGTGGCGCTGGGCTTGATGTAGGACTGTCTGCAGCCTCTGAGCCAGCTGACGTGCCAGCCACACAGATTTGACTTTAGAGAGGAGTCTGTGCCCACAGCTCCTGCTAAACTCGCCGCCTTCTGCCCCTCCTCTCACCTCCGCCAGCTCCTGTATTAAATCACTAAAATCGCGGGGTAAACAGTAGCGAGGGACCTCTCTGAAGGCCTTTGGTATGTCCTTGCTGTGGCAAAGGCCTTGGAAGTAGACGATGGCGACGTCTTTACCTTTCCCCTCCTGCAGCGCTCTTTTCAAAGAGGCCAGAGCAGCCATGAACACCGGCTCTGTTACCGTCGACGGCCCCTTCTGCGAGCACCAGTCTTTATCCTCCAACAATTCGGTGAAACATTTTTTCTCTTTTTTCCATTTTCCAAACAGTTTCAAATCCTCTTCTCCAACGTTCTCGTGGCTCGCATTTGCTTCCTTTTTATCAGCGTTCGCCTTTTTCACCTTCCACCTCTCATAGCTCCTCTTGGCTTCGGGACTCCAAAAAATCAGCACTTTCCCCTGTGCTTTGCAGGTGGCTTCCCACTGCCCATACAGCCAGGGGATGGGCCCCAGATCTGCCACCCCAGCCCCGCTCCCAGTCCGCCTTTGGGAGTTCTGCTGCCACAGAGCTGCATGCACCGTGGCACCCAGCTTACCCTGAAGTATGGAGGCCAAAGCGCAAAGAGCGGAGATGTGTGTCGGCTGATCCGATGAGCACACCAGCAACAACGGCCTTCGAATCGTCAGTAAACCTGAGGACGTGGAAACAAATCCGATAGTGAAGGCATGCGTGCACTCGAAGACACAAATATTCAAAACAAATGAACCCATGAGGGCCTGTGTACTTGTTGGTCATTTGTTCTTCATTTTAAAAACAAATTGAAAAATGAATACTCCAAAAGTGGAAAATGGTCTGTCTTTTTATTTTTTGTAAAACCAAAGGTTTAGCACTGTTTTCAAGACAACTCAATGCTGTCCTATGGAACCTGCTGCAGCTTCAAGTTTTTCAATATGGACCTCTTGGAGAAAGACTAAAAGTGCTATAAAAAAAAACACACCAGAAGCTCAAGGAAAGTGTCCCATTTTTAATCATCAGTGAAATACAAACTATCAGTGGACACCTGTTGGG